CGGGGCATGGCCGCCCCATCCAAACAGGCTGGCATCCGTCGTAACCTGGATACGTTCCAGCTCTTTGAATGGACACCCCTTGAGAATCTTTGAGGATGCCGACCATCGAAGTGATCTGAGGGCTTTGGGTGAAAGACAGACCTTGAGCTGAGAATGACTGGTGTGAGATCTCTGATAAGGAAGCAAGAACCATTGGAGTGGTCGTGCGTGAAACCTGGCCCAGGGAACGATGTCGATGCAAGAAATCATCTTCCCTAACAGCTGAGAGAGTAAAGCCAGGGGCACAAGACGCAAGGCTGACACTTGAGATGCCAGCCGCTGGATGCTCTGACACCTCTCCAGGGACAGGAAAACTTCACAAGTGGCGGAATTGATGATGGTCCCTAAGTGAAGCAGCGATGTAGTTGGCTGCAGATGGCTCTTGGGAAGATTCAGCATGAACCCGTGCCCCCGCAGGGAGTCCATCGTTACTTGAAGATCCCATAGGGCCTTGTCCCGGGATGGTGACAGGACCAAGATGTCATCTAAATAGCAATTCACCCTCACCGGAACCGAACGAAGAGAGGCCGCCACTTCCGCCAGGAGCTTGGTGAAGGTGCGGGGCACCGATGAAGGGCTGAAAGGCAAGGCCTGGTACTGGAAATGACGGCCCGCAAAGTGCAAACGCAGGAACCGCCGATGAGCCGGATGAATGGGCACATGGAGGTACGCCTCCTTGATGTCGACTGATGTCATCAAGTCGCCTTGGCGGATGGATGACAGGATGCTCTTTAACGACTGCATTTTGAACCTCTGATACTTGATGTACCAATTGAGTCTTTTTAGATCCAGAATGGCTCGCCATCCTACTGAGTTTTTGGGTACCAGAAATAGAATGGCGTAAAATCCTAGACCTTCCTGCCCTTTGGGAACCTGTTCTATTGCATTGATGGAGATGAGATGATGTATCTCGGTGTCCATGAGGCGCTGCTTTACTGAGCACCTGGGTATGGGGCACCTGATGAACCGTCTTCTGGGAATGGAGAGAAATTCTAGTGTGAGGCCCAGCCTTACCACCTGAAGGGCCCAGGCATCAGATGTGTTCCCAACAGACGCCTACCCACTGACTCCTCCCCTTGCGAGTCACCGGTACCTCCGAAAGGACCAGTTTCCCGAGCCACGAAAGATCTTCTATTGTGGGATTGCGGCTGGTGCTGTTGGCGCCCCCTATCCCTGGCCCCTCCACGGTCCTGGCCATGGTCCTGTGACTGGTGAAAACCTCTGTTGTAATTGGGAGCGAAGGGGGCCACTGAGTAACCAGAATAGCCGCCCCGAAAGGATTGGCGTCTGTTATATGGCTGCTGCCTCCTGGTATTGTGCCCGCCCGAGGAGCGAAGCACCTTGCATTTGTCCCTGGTTTCTATGAGTATGGGGTCGAGAACGGACCCAAACAAGGCCCTACCCTTGAATGGCGTGGACGCCAGGCGCCATTTAGACTTAATGTCGGCTTGCCAATGGCGAAGCCACAAAAGGCGACGAGAAGCCACATTGAACACCACAGCGCGAGAAGCGAACTTGGCAGCATTGAGCGTGGCATCCGCCGAAAACTCTAAGGCAGCCATGATTTTAGTAACGTCTTGGTGAAGACGTACCTCATCAGGAGCCAGTCTTTCCTGCAACTGTTTAAGCCAGAGCACAGAAGTTCTATTAAAGAACGATGCCGCAGTAGCAGCACGCAAGGCCCAGGCCGCAGCTTGATGAGTTTTCCGAATTACTGTTTCAGCTTTACGGTCATCTGCCTTTAGACCCTCAGAAATTTCAGACATAATCAGAGCAGGGGACGCTAGGGCTGCTACTGGCTGATCTACTGTTGGAAATTGCAAAATGTTTTCCAAATCAGAAGTGGAAGTGTACAACTTCCTGCCCCGTTGCTGGGTGGGGTAACCGCAGTTGGTTGATCCCACTGTTTCTGAATGAGATCCATGAAGAGCTTTGGTGAAGGAATCACCTCCTGCAAGGAGACTGGTTCAGCATAGAGGCGCTCAGTAGTGTCAAGGCCTACAGCCGAACTGTCCTTGGAAGCTACCTCTCCCATGTGAGTAGTGGCCTTAGCTTTAAACAATAAGGATTTGAAAAGAGTAGGCCTAAACAGGCTAGAAGAATTAGGCTGATCAAAAATCAGGCCCTCATCATCAGAGAACTCCCTATCTATTAACTCCCCTTCCTCCACCAAGGCCGAATCCTCACTATAAGTAGAGGGAGGAGGGGAAGAAGAAGGCCCTGCTTGCACATCAGGTAGAGCTACATGTGGAGCCGGGATAGGAGGGCCACCTTGGGAACTAACAATCACCGGGGCCTGGTTCCTTCGAAGCAGCTCAGCATCCACCCCCCCTGGATATGGCTGCAGAGATCATCTGGTAAAGGTCTGGGGATAGGCCCTGGTCATAGCCTTCCATAGGCCTCAGGCCTGCAGCAGTGGGAGTAAATGTAGCGGAGGGCCCAGCACGTGGCAATAAGAAGGCCGAAGCAGCCTGGGCCTCAGACAATACAGAGGAGGGTTGGATCCCCCCCCCCCGTCCCAGTTTCAGAAATAACAGGGAGAGATCGATCTGGGGACCAGGTCTGATGCCCTGCTGTCTGGGGAGCAGGCGAAATACGCTGAGGTAAAGGTGCGGGAGGGGAATTCCTGCCCTCCCCGGAGGATTTGGAAGTTGACTTGGATTTATCTTTCTTTTTATGGCTTTTATCAGGACCCCCGGAGGCCTCCCTGGGCCTCTGGCTGATGGTTCTAGAGGCGGCCCTGCCAGGCCTCGAACTAACCCCTGCTTGGGCAGTACCCTGGTTATCAACAGAGGGCTCAACTGTACCTCCCAGAGAAGAATGATCAGCCATTGGAATGATTAGATGCAAAAAGACTCAAAAGGCACAAAGCACAGCGTTCACTTGCAAATAGAAAGGACCGTGTGGTCAGCAGCAATGCCAGGAACTATTCCCCCAAGGCAAACAAAGCCAAAGCGAATGAGAAGGGTGGGTCAATGAGTCAGCAGCCCCTTTTAAGCTCGAGGAAGGGCAACGCCCAATCCCTACAGCGCCTGCGCTCTGAACGGCCCCAAAAATGGCAACCGCAATTCGGGCGCCAAATTCAAACCCAGCAGGGAACGAAAATGCCTTCTTCGCCTCTCACAACGAGAATCAGGCCAGCGGCGGCAATAGCGCGCCCTCAGGACGGCCCAGGCTTCAGAGGTGGGTGAAACCACGCCGCGCACGCCAGGCTGGTCCCATCGGTGAGAGCAGGAGCCGCGCCGCGAATGGCGGGCGTTTTGCTGGCTCCGAAGCGGCGGGCTCTCCAGCTACAAGGATGGTGCAAGCCGGCACACATGATGCGATACGAGCCCCAAGCCTCAAAATGCAATAATCGCTTGTCGTTAAGTACCTTGCAAGGCTGCAATAGCCTGCAGCCAGAAAACTTTAGAGCTAGCAGCGACCAAGGACAATTCAAATATCAGATCGAGGCAACGAGCTACAAGGGAACTGGGCAGGCAGCGAACTGCCGCCTCTCCCCACTCCATACATAAACTTCCATAAATCCAAGAAAAACGCACTTGAGAGAAAATCCNCATAACTCAGTCTCTAGGCTAATGGACAAAGTTAACCCATGCTTGGATTCCCCAAGCAGCACACAGGAGAAGCTATAGAGGCTGGATGAGAAAGGGTGTTGGTACTTACCTGATACGCCTCTTCTCATAGTGGGGGAGGGGTATCCAGGATGGGTTGACCTTGTCCTCTCATTGATTGGGCTGAGTCAGATAAGCTCTTTGGGCCATATCCCTGGTCACCAGGTACCACCCAGTTATCGGCGAAGAACCTTATCCGACTCGCTGTGTCATCTACTCCAGACTTTATCTTAGTTTCAACCTTTATTTATTTCTTCAACAGAACAGTTCAACCATCAAACATAACGTTCATGTTACATAACCATATCAGGGAGGAGCTAGATACTCCTCCCACACTATGAGAAGAGGCCAGGTTGGTCAGGTAAGTACCAACACTCTTTCTCCATAGTGAAGGGAGGAGTATCCAGGATGGGACGTACCAAAGCTTACATGTCCCTAGGGAGGGTTACCCATGTTAAGAGCTCGCATAAACCTTATGCCTGGCGAGGCATCACCTCCGCCCTGTGCACAGCCTGCAACCCCTATGCCCAAATGAAGCCTCTGCAGAAACAAAGGAGTCCAGTTTATAGTTCTTCATGAATGGTGAGGGGGAAGACCACGTAGCTGCCCCTCAGATCTCAGTCAATGAGGCTTGGGTGGCCCAGGCGGTTGAGGTGGCCGTGCTTCATGTGGAATGCGCTGTAATAGAGCTCGGTGTTTGCAGACCTCGTGCTTGGTAGGCGGTAACAATACAGGTTCGTAACCACCTGCCTATGGTGGTGGATGTCACCTTGTTTCCCAGGGATCCCGTCTGAAAAGAGATAAACAGGGCTTCAGACTTCCTGTTCAGCCGGATTCTTCTGAGGTAAATCCTCACAGCCCTCCTTACGTCTAGGGTGTGCCACTTCCTCTCTAATGGGTGAGAGGGGCCGGGCAGAAATTGGGCAATATCAATTCCTGTGAGCGATGGACACACCTTATGGATGAAGGAAGGGTCCTACCTTAGTACCACCCTGTCCTGGTGGAACACACAGAAATCCTCCCTGGCCGATAGAGCCTGTAGTTCGCATATCCGCCTGGCTGAGGTGATGGCCACCAGAAAGGCCACTTTAAGAGTTAAAAACTTAAGAGACACAGTTCGCAAGGGTTCGAAAGGAGAGCCTGTCAGAGCGTCCAACACCTTATGCAAGTCCCAGGAGGGGTACCTGTGTACCGTATGTGGCTTAAGATTGGATGCCCCCTTGAAGAATCGCCTGACCATAAGGTGGTGAGTCAAGGTCTGAGACCTATCACACAGAAGTACCGATGAGATGGCCAAGATCTGTCTCCTAATCTTATTGGGAGCTAACCCTCTGTCCAGGCCCACCTGAAGGAAGTCCAGAACCTGCAGAATTATGGCTCGAACCAGATCGTGGCCCCTGGAGCTGCACCATGTTGAAAAGGCATGCCATGTAGTGCCGTAAATGCGCTCCATGAAGGTCTGTGAGCTGCCTGAATAGTCTGTATTATCCTGGGGGAGAAGTGGCCTTCCCTCAGGATGCTCCGCTCAAGCGCCAAGCGGTCAACTTAAGCCACTGAGGGCCGGGTGCTCCAGCGATCCCTGGCTGAGGAAGATCATCTCCTGGGGGGATCCTCCAGGGCCTGTCCACCAAGAGAGATTGGAGATTGGCAAACCAAGGCCTCTGGGGCCAGTGTGGGGCACTCACCACCACCTCTGCTCCCTCCTGCAGGATTTTATGTATGACCTTGGGAAACAGGGGTAATGGTAGATATGCATAGAGGAGTCCCCAGGGCCATGGGCATCGGAGACCATCCACCCCCTCCGCCCCCCCATGTCTGATACCTGGAATAAAACCTCGGGAGCTGGGCATTGAGAGGGATGGCGAATAGGTCGACTTCTGGGCGTCCAAAGTGCCTTGCCACTTCCTCGAATATCGCCGGCTGCAGCCTCCACTCTGAATTGTCCACCTCGGTCCAGCTGAGCCAGTCGGCTCTGATGTTGTCCACCCCTGCTATATGTTCCGCAGTCAATGACAGAAGGTTCCTTTCAGCCCACTGCCCAAGTCGTTCAGCCTCCTTCATGAGGACCTTCGATCTGGTCCCCCCCTGTCTGTTTATGTGAGCCTTGGTAGTGATGTTGTCTGTGAGGACTAAGATGTGGGTGCCCCTGACAAGGTGATGAAATTACAGGAGGGCCCGGTGGACTACCCTGTGCTCCAACCAGTTTATGTTGTGAGTCAGTTCCACCTGGCTCCATTGTCCTTGCGCCATCTGACCCCGCAGATGGGTGCCCCATCCAAACAGGCTTACATCCATTGTTACCATCACCCTGTGTGCCATTCTGAAGATCTCGCCCTTGGAGATTGCTGGGGACGTCCACCAAGTCAGTGAGCGGGATACTTCTGTGGGCAGAAGAACCTTGGTCTGGGAGCAGCTCATGCGCCTTCGCTGGAAAGGCAAAAGGAACCATTGGAGATCTCTGGTATGGAACTGAGCCCAAGGGACAATGCCAATGGTAGACAACATGGTGCCAAGCAGCTTGGACAGTTTGGCAAAGGACACCCTATGACCCCTGACTACCTGAGCGGCTAGCTGCCTAAGAGAGAGCTGTCTTTCTGATGACAGAGAAACCGTGCTTGCCTCTGTATCTATCAGGGGTCCTAGGTGGACCAGACTAGTGGAGGGGTGAAGGTGGCTTTTGGCCAGGTTTACCGAAAACCCGTGGTCTGTCAGGACTGCCATAGTAGTGTCCAGATCCTGTAGCGCACCCTTGAAGGAGGACAACTGCAACAGCAGGTCATCTAAATAACATTGAATTCGAACAGGNATCCAAGATGAAGTATAAATTTGTCTCATTAGTCTGGAGAATAATTGGTATACGTCTCTTTCGGCTGGACTGAGTTAAAAAACTGACCCATCCAGTCAGAGGAGGCGTGGTCACCAATTTACATAACTCAGTCTCTAAGCTAATGGACAAAGTTAACCCATGCTTGGATTCCCCAAGCAGCACACAGAAGAAACTACTAGATTTCTGCACATATGATTGCGCAACAATTAAACTGAGTTTTAGCTACTTTTTTTCCTACTTCAATTAGAATGACTTCAAGGGTGCAACTACAAATCAGAGTTTTTTCCAATCATCAACAAAATAACTGAATACATAAATCTGAGCATTTTTGGAGTGTATGTGTGTAAATGGTATAATACTTTTTGGATTAGAATAATAATGCATGAAAGAATTATTTGATGGTATTTGAGGAAGGTTTTTTTTCCTCAATCCTTTTAAGGATTTTCTTGGAAAAGCTATCTTTTGTAAGGGATTGAATATGAAGGAAAACCACACAATCCTAGAAAAAAACCTCATAACTTGAAGAAAGTTTAGCCAAGACTTTCAGCAGCCTATTCTCTATAAATACTAAATTTGTTCCATGATTTCATGTGCCTTACATTAGCACATCACAAAGGTGATTTTTCAGGAGGCAACTGGACTTTCTTGTTTTTCTTTGAAGATATTTCACTTCTCATCCAAGAAGCTTCTTCAGCACTGACAGGATCATGGGGATTTATATTCCTTGCAGACAGGTGGCAATCTGCATCCTTTTTAGAGGGTCCTTGAAGCACTTGAAATCTGTGTCCTCAGGGTCACCCAAGTAGTGTTCCTGGTTCCTGTAGTCTGCATTTTTCCCCTCTGGAAATCCATTCCTACTCCCACACCATTCACAGGGTGTTCATCCCAAGATGTATAAGTAAAACTCTGTAGAGATTCTCAGTCAAGGAATATAAATCCTTCCATTCTCCGCTATCCTGTCAGAGCTGAAGAAGCTTCTTGGATGAGAAATGAAACATCTTCAAATAAAAAACAAGAAAGCCCAGTTGCCTCCTGAAAAAAAACAACTGAGAATCTCTACAGACTTGCATTAGCATGTTTATTCTAAAGTTTTGATTTTGACTGCAGTTGAAGGAAGCCTAAAATTGATCTATCCCTCCCTACATAAACAGATTGTCCACCTGCACTTTCTCAAATTCTGCTGAATGTTCTCTTCAGATTAATGTCATAGGAACAATCAAATTCCATAAAATGTGAACTATTTAAAACCAGTGAATTAAATAAAGGCAAATAGCCATTGTCTTCTAAAATTTCCTCTAAAATGCAGTACAAAGAAATAATTGATTACAGTTTTTTCATGAAGTCAAAGGAGTAACACAAAGTGGATCTCTCTCCCTCTCTCTCAAGTTGCAATAAGTTAAAATAAAATATTGTTCTTAGTTTTAAAATACTTTTAATATTCCACTGAGAAAATGGTATGTTATACATGAGTCTCCAGTAACAACATTTTAGCTTTCATTCTAAAATGTCTTGGGCACTTTTTTCTAAACTAATATAAAGTGAAAAAAAAGCAAAACAAACAAACAAACTAACAAAAAACCATAGTCACAACAACAAGAAACATTTGTTAAAAGTGTGTTCTAGTTAATACTTTAATTACATAAACACATAAATTCATCTAAAATGAATTCTGTACATTCTTGTACTTGCAAAGATACACATTTATCTCTGGCAAACTTGTAGATACTTCACAGATAATGATTTTCCTATAATAAGTTTGTTCTCTTAAATCTCTAATGAGAAGTTTTAGAAGTTAGTCACAGGATGCATTTATGACAGCAGTTTGCAACAATTTAGTAGGCAGCTAAGCAACATCTCACTGAAGATTAATAGCTGAATCATTTCAAGGTTCTGTGGCTACCATTTTAATTAATGACTCTGGGTGATAATAGTTTAGATATGTCTTCATATACATAATTCCTTGCCGATGTATACTGTCCATGTTTTTAAAGCAATCTCTTCCAAAAAGTGTCCTTTTCTTACTTTTTCAAGGGAAAATATAACTGTTATCTGCTTTATTTTATGCCCATCCTAGCAAACCTAGCAATTGAATTGTAAAAAGTCTAAGGTTGCTGAGGGAATTAAATCTCAGTGAATTCCAGCATGAATACTCTAATCCATGTCTTTTGCTTCTTAAACAGTCTATCACAGTTCTCAGGTTTTTTAAAAAAATATATATTTTAAACTAAATACGGATGGAAAATGTTTTAGGTGCACATGTTTTGAATGACACAATGAGCACAACAAAGTGACAAGAACTGGAAATAAATCCATCTGCACTTATTCTCCAAAACATATCAGGGAATACAATTAAATGAATTGAACTAGGGCCAAATTTTTTGACAAATTTAAAAACCATTTCTGTAGCAATAAAATTATATTCCTGTTACCATTTTATGTTGATTACATCTGTTGATTACATCTTCAAACTACTGAATAACCCCAAGCCACTCATGACTAACACCTTAATTTTAATAAATTCTGTCTAAACCATTGTTTTCATCTATACAACAAAGCCTTAGTCAACTATTAGAGTTCTGAGTAGGTAAGAAGGGTTGGCTACAAAAGTGGTCTAGAATTTGCCAACATGTTTCAGACACTTCAGCATCAACTCTTTGGATCCACCATTCACTCATAAAGACCTCTATTGACCTCTCAGGTTGACCTCTATTGCAGGCAACTTTTCAAAATTTCATTGTGAAACGTAGTCAAATGAATACATATACTGGCCTCATCCCCCTCCCACAGGGAGATAAACATTAAATACAGGGAAATGGACAAAATATATATTTGGTTGTTCAGTTTCTTTTAAACTAAGACAAGTGGTTGGATATTGAAGGAAATTGATCTAAGAACAGCTTTAACTCAGAGATGGTATTCTATTTTCTTCACTACCAGTTCAGTTGCAGGAGCACACACATCTGGGCATGCCCAGAACCTTATGCACATGCGCAGAAGATCCTTGATGATGGCAGGATGGGTGGGCAGATCCTCGTGCTGCCGCCACTAGTGGTTCGCCTGAACCGGTGTGAAGTGGCAGCATACCACCTATGGTTTAACTAGTTTATTATGTTATAAACACAGTATCTTCTCTGCAATACTGTCTCTCTATATTGAATGTAACTTTGCCCCATACAAATCCTTCCATTCCCTGCCATTCAGTCAAAAAAGGAGAAGTTTCTTGGATGAGAAGTGAAATGTTTTCAAAGAAAGAAACCAAGAAAGACCAGTTGCCATTTGAAAAAAAAAAGTCTTTGGGATAACCATGACCTGGATGATTGAGAATTTCCATAGATATTTGTCTCATATAGGTAGTTACTAGCACCAAGCCAACCTTGTCTGATCTGGAAAATCTAAACAGGTCCAGGTATTTGAAAGTCTCAGTGACATAAACTAGACAGAAAGGTTAAACTAAAACCAAACTGGATGACAATGGTATTCTACTTCCATGCTGTTGCTAAAGAATTGCAGTATATAAACATGCCATGAAGACACCAGGAGTCTTCCTTGATTTGAAGGAGAATTTATTTACTTTCTAAAATCTCTGTGATTTCTATCTCCAATTGCTGCAAAGCATTAAACGAAGC